GAGAGAGAGAGAGAGAGAGAGAGAGGCCAGCTCAGCCCACCAGGGGGCGGGCTGGCGAAAGTATTCTGTTAAGTGAAAGAAGTCCATTAAAAAGACTATATCCCACGCACTCTGTGACACTGGAAAAGGCACAACCACAGGGTAAATGGGTAGGGGTAGGGAGGAGGGGGAACAGGTGAAACCCAAGGGATTTTCAGGATGGCAGAACCAATCTGTGGTACAGTATTAAGAATGGTGGATGAGTGGTGCCATTCATTTGACAAACTCCACAGACACAAAAAACTAAACCTTAGTTATGCAAAACTGTAAAATCCATTCAGGAGGCCACAGGTACCAGCAAAAGCACACACATGGATTGCACTGCAGTACAACTGTCTGAACAACCTCAGTGAAGGAATGAGGGGAGGAAGGTGCTGGTATGGGGGGCGCTAGGACAGCCCACCACTCTGGACCCGATAAGCCTGTTTCCCACAGGTAACAGTGACTCTCAGGCCACCACCATGTGCACTGGACTAAACAGTGATGCAGTGGGTGGCAGGTGGGCGGTGGGAGCAGAGCTACTCACATAACAGTACCCAAAGACAGAAGGACAGGATGGATGAGAGGTGATGACACAGCTATCTTTTAACTCACATGAACACGGAAGATTACACATCAGTATTTACAGATGTGTCTTCACGTTGCTTAGCACACAGGCATGCATGAACTGTATGATGATGCTTTCTTTTTTTTTAAGAGTTAGGCTTTTTATTCTTTTTTGTTTTCTTTCTTTCTTTCTTTCTTTCTTTCTTTCTTTCTTTCTTTATTTTATGGTCAGCTCAGCCCACCCTGGGGGCGGGGCTGGCATGGCATGTGGTGCTGGGGATTGAACTGAGGTCCCTACATGCTTGCCTAAGCTTGCCTAAGCAGGTGCTTTAGACCACTGAGCTATCTCGCCAGCCCCGATGCTTTCATTTGTATTTATTTATTTTTGTATTTTAGGGAAGGGTCTACAGGGTATTCAGGGTCTTACTGCTAGATCAGACTTGTAGTGATCCACCTATTTATGGACTCCCAAGAGCTGGGATTATAGGTGTACGCCACCACGCCCAGTCTCAACTGCCATCTTAGCGCAGCCGGAGAACCCCTGGCCCCTACACCTGCTTGCAGGCACTTTAATTTGCTCAGCTATTTGGCTGGCCCTACGATGATGTTTTTATGATGCTTTTAACAAGATGGCCTGCATATATGGCGGAGGTCACATAAGACTGTATCACCTTGTGCTGTCACAACTGTCTCAGTAAAAGCACACCCAGAGATGCTGGCACGCCCACAAAACCACTCACCAGTGCATTTCCCAGAAGATAGACCCATAGTTAAGTGATGGCCAACTGTTATTTCCTTACTGTCCATTAAAGGAACCTAAAAACACCACTCTGTCCCCGAAGTGAAGTGCCCCCTTGCCACAGCCTTGCTTCTAAAACCGCTCCTCCAGCAAAGGAAAACGGGACTTCTTGGACAAACGGGTGACTCTATACCTAGGACAGGACATAGACAAGATGAGTCTGGAATGTCTTGTTGGGCTAGAAAGAAAGGAAGTGCTAAAAAGGAAAGAACCCCCACTGAGGGACGATGGATGAGACTTTATCAAAGGGAAACATGAGCCAGGGTAAAGAGTTCCTGGTTGGTGGTCAGAGCTAAAAGAGTTTACAATTTAAACAAGATAAAGTAGGATTATAACCGTAAGTATAAAGTAAACATTCCTCAAGATGTGAAGAGATGGTCACTGTATCTCTGTGATCTTATTCCTGAAACCAAATGGCTCCAGTCTAATTATAAAAAAACTGAGCCAGATAGCTCAGCAGATTAAAGCGCCTGGTTAGACAGACACAGGGGCTGGGGGCTCTATCCCCAGCCTGCTGTGCCAGCCCTGCCCCAGGGGCATGTGCCTGTAATCCCAGCGCTTGGGA